ATTGGACGGACTATTGGACAAAACAATAATTTTTGAGGTAGGAGAGAAAGAAAGGCGCACTTGGAAGCAAGGAAAAGCCTAAAAATAAAGACTGTAAAGAAGCAATGCAATTAGAAAAAATCGTAACAGAATTAAACATTGAAAGAGCTAAATATAGTAGTTATAAGATATTATCACAATATATAAAAGCAGTAGCGAAAAAATATACTATGCATAATGTCACAAGTAAATATGGAAAAGTATTATTTATTAAAGATGGAGTTGTAAAAGTAAGTGGATTAAACCAAATAAAAATCGGAGAAAAAGTAGAATTCGTAGGAAAAAACTTATATGGAATGGCATTAAATTTAGAAGCTACAAGTGTAGGAATCGTAATTTTCGGAGAAGATACAGCAATTTATGAAGGAGTAATCGTTAAAAGATGTGAACAAAACTTTGCAATTAAAGTAGATAAAACAATGTTAGGAAGAGTAGTAGATGTATTAGGACAACCAATCGATGGACTGGGAGAATTAAAAGATACAAAAACAACAAGAGTAATGAGTGTAGAAAGAAAAGCACCAGGAATAGTAACAAGAAAATCAGTACATGAATCAATGTTAACAGGAATAAAAATGGTAGATGCATTATTACCAATAGGAAGAGGACAAAGAGAATTAATAATTGGAGATAGACAAACAGGAAAATCAGCAATAGCAGTAGATGCAATATTAAATCAACAAGTAAATAAAGATATTGTATGTATTTATGTAGCAGTAGGACAAAAAAAATCAACAGTTAGAAGATTAGTAGAAATGTTAAATACAAAAGGAGCATTAGAGTATACAATTGTAGTAGTATCAACAGCATCAGATGCAGCACCATTACAATTCTTAGCACCATATACAGGATGTACTATTGGAGAATATTTCAGAGATGAAGGAAAACATGCATTAATAGTATATGATGATTTAAGTAAACATGCAGTAGCATATAGACAAATGTCATTATTATTAAGAAGACCACCAGGAAGAGAAGCATATCCAGGAGATGTATTTTATATTCATTCAAGATTATTAGAAAGAGCAGCAAAATTAAATGAAAAATATGGATGTGGATCTTTAACAGCATTCCCAATTGTAGAAACACAAGCAGGAGATGTATCAGCGTATATCCCAACAAATATTATTTCAATTACAGATGGACAAATATTCTTAGAAAAAGAATTATTCAATAAAGGAATCAGACCAGCTGTAAATGTAGGATTATCAGTAAGTAGAGTAGGATCAGCAGCACAATCAGCTGTAATGAAAAAATTAGCAGGAGCATTAAAATTAGAATTAGCTCAATATAGAGAATTAGCAAGATTTGAACAATTCTCAAGTAATGCGGATGCAGTTACTACTCAAATTTTAAAAAAAGGAAAATTAACAATTGAATTATTAAAACAAGTAAATAACAACCCAATGGCTGTTGGAATGGAAGCATTAATGATTTATGCAATGAGTACTACTTACTTTCAAAATTTAGATTTATCTTTAGTAAGAGCTGAAGAAGCTAAATTATTACAATATATAAATACTGTAGCAAGTTTCAAATTATATGCAGCTTGTGTTGATGCGGTAAAAGCATTCAATCCAAAAGATACAGTATTTACTGAAATGTGCCAATCTTATGTTAAATAAGAACGTAATTTAAGTAACAGGTACGGTGTGATCAAATACACAGTCAGAAACTATGCTATCGGGAACTTTTGTTCGCCGGGTCCGCGCTTTTGTTTGACTAATTTAATAAAATAAGTTAAGCAGTTTATAATATGATAGTCCTTCAGTAATTTTAATCGGCTAAAAATAGTACTTCATCATAGTAACAATATCGGTTCAAGCCCGGTCTGAAGGAGCTTTGTATAAAGTGCGTAGTAAAGAAAAAGAGGAATAATACAAAAACGAGGAGTGAATGGCAATAATGGAGGGTAATGGCGAAACGATAAGAAAAATAGAAGGGAGTAGTAAGAAAGAAATGTTTATAACGGATCTCTATGCAAATAAGAGCAAGGACGTAAGAATGAACGAAAGGTTATAGGGAAAACATAAAAAAAAGCTAAAACTAGCAATTGAAGATCTATAAATATCCGAGGGGAGACCAAGAAAAGACAAGAAACACAGTGAATTGAAACATCTTAGTAACTGTAGGAAAAGAAATCAAAAGAGATTCGGTAAGTAGTGGTGAGCGAAAGCCAGAGCAGAGTAAAAGTAGACCCTTAGAAGAAGACTGAAAAGAGGTGGAAATCCGCGGCAATAGAAGGTGAAAGTCCAGTAAGGAAAAGGACTAAGGGTAAAGAAGTAAAACGAAGAAAGGAAGAATTTGTTTGAATAATGGGGGTCCACCCCCAAACTCAACATATGCTTATTTGACTGATAGTGAACAAGTACTGTGAAGGAAAGATGAAAAAGATATTGTAGAAGAGGTCTAATAAGTGAAAAGAACGTGAAATTGTAAACATGATGAGCAGTTGGAAGTAAAATGACAACGTACCTTTTGTATAATGGGTCAGCGAGTTAATAAATCGTAGCAAGCTTAAGGTGATAACTGTAGGCGTAGCGAAAGCGAATCTTAATAGGGTGTTTGAGAGTTACATTTATTAGACCCGAAACCAAGCGATCTAATTATGAACACGCACTTTATACTTTTTGTTATAATTTGGCGGAACCCGTAACTGTTGCAAAAGTTTGGGATGATTTGTGATTAGGGGTGAAAGGCTAATCAAGCTTGGTGATAGCTGTTTTTTACGAAATCTATTTAGGTAGAGTGGTGGTAGAGAAAGATTTATAGTGGTAGAGCACTGAGTAGTTAACCAAAGGTTATTATTTAAACTTCGAATACTATTAAATAAGGTCCCCACTAAGCAGACTGTGAGCGCTAAGGTCCATAGGTCGAAAGGGAAACAGCCCAGATTGTAAGTTAATGTTCTTAAATAATAGTGTAGTGTAAAAGGCAAGGAGAAAGTGATGTTAATTGGAAAGTAGGATTGGAAGCGACCATCTTTTAAAGAAAGCGTAAAAGCTCACCAATTTAAGGCGTTCTCTAGCCAACAATGTATAGGAACTCAATATTATACAGAAACTACAAAATTAAAAAATTGGTAGTAAAATCTTCCGTATAATGCTGAAGTTAAATCAAGAAGATTTGATGAAGTTATCGGAATAAAGAATGCTGATATGAGTAATGTAAATAAGGTTAAAACCTTATCGCTGAAAATTAGAAGTTTCCTAATAAAAAGGTAGGCTGATTAGGGTTACGCGATCGCTAAGATTAATATGAAGATAGATTATCGATGCGCATATAGATTAATAATTCTAACGTTTTTATTGAAGTTTTAATTGACATGTGTATTTTAATGCATTGTATTGTATTTAGATTATAATTGCATTTTAATATAAGTTTTAAAAATAGATTAAAACAAAATATAAGTAACATATATTTTAAATAAAAAATCGTACTTAAACCGACACTGGTTAATTGATAGAGTATATTAAAGCGTAGAATGAATGACTCTGAAGGAACTCGGCAAAATTACTCCGTAACTGCGGGAGAAGGAGTACCTTTATTAATAAAATAATGAAGGTCACAGAAAAGAAGGGGTGGCGACTGTTTAATAAAAACACAGGATTCTGCAAAATGGCAACATGATGTATAGGGTCTGCGACCTGCCCGGTGCTCAAAGAGGAAAAGGAGAACTGCAAGGTTTGAATTGAAGTCTGAGTAAACGGCGGCTGTAACTATGACGGTCCTAAGGTAGCGAAATTCCTTGTCGAGTAATTTTCGACGCGCATGAATGGTGTAACGACCTCCCCACTGTCTCCAGAGTCACTTCGATGAAATTGAACTTTCCGTGAAGATGCGGAATATTAGCAGCTAGACGGAAAGACCCTATGCACCTTAACTTCACGTATATATTGTGCAACATTTCTAATTACGTAGGATACTTAAGATGCTTATGATATTTTGGTTTTGGCCAATTCAATGGAGGCGTTGGTGAAATATTAAGTCTATTAGAAAGATAGTACTCAAACATTATAGTGTATACCGGGTAGTTTGACTGGGGCGGTAACCTTCTAAAGAGTAACGAAGGTGTATAAAGGTAAACTCAAAATAAATTAGTTAGTTATTTGGTGAGTGTAATGGCATAAGTTTGCTTGACTGAAAGACCTACAAGTCGATCAGGGACGCAAGTCGATCATAGTGATCCAATAGTTCTGTGTGGAAAGGCTATTGCTAACGGATAAAAGGTACGCTAGGGATAACAGGCTTGTCCCCAGTTAGAGTTCATATCTGTCTGGGGGTTCGGCACCTCGATGTCGGCTTAACACATCCCGGAGTTGTAAAAGTTTCCAAGGGTTGGGGTGTTCACCCATTAAAGTGTTACATGAGCTGGGTTTAAAACGTCGTGAGACAGTTTGGTCCCTATCTACTGTTAGACAGAAAAGGATAAAACCCTTCCTTTAGTACGAGAGGACTGAGGTGGGTCGATCTCTGGTGTATTAATTATTGTAACAACAGTATCGTTAAGTAGCTACATCGAAATATTAATAATAAATAGTATTATTATGAGAGAACTGCTGAAAAAATATTAAGTAGGAAACTTGTTTTAATTCTTTTCATATTCAGGTAAGAGACGATTACTTTGATAGGCTACATATAAAACAAAATAGTAATATAATATAAAGACTTGAAAGGGTTTTTCCATTAATTCTATAATTAATGTGATCTTTTAATAGAAGATTAGTAAAGTAGTACTAAAGCTGGATGAAAAATCTTACTAACCTAGTTCTATCCAAGATTTTTAATGTTGGGTTTAAATACATTTAATAGAATCATTTTGCTGAATAGATCAACTGCAAAATTAACGAATTATTAAAACATAATATAACTATTAGGAAAAATATATGGGAAATTATACAATGGTATTTAAATCCACCCAAGTAAGTAATAGTAAAAGGATCAAGACTAAATAGGAGTTATCCGATATAGCCAAGTTGGTAAGGCGATGGTTTTTGATATCATTATGCGTAGGTTCGAGTCCTGCTATCGGAAATGAAAGTTAAAGTAAAGAAAAGTATAGATTGTACAAAAAGACAATTGTATTTAGAGAAAGGAGGGTGACTGTAATTTCATGGGAATAGTTTAATAGTAGAACTATGCTCTCCAAAAGCATCAGTATCAGTGCAAGTCTGATTTCTCATGAAATTTCCTCCATATGTATAAGCCAAGTAAGTTATGGATGGGCTTCTTCTAGAGGTTGAAATCATAATTTAAACGGCTAAGCATAAAATAAAAGTATTAGGAATTGCAATCAGGTAGATTTAAGAGATATAGGAAATGCAGATAGGTTTAGTGAAAAGTAATCAAAGAGCTTTAATTTTTATTTAAAGAAGCTATACGCAGTAAGTAAAATTATAAGTAGGGACTGTAAATCGAATAGTTGAGGATGTAAGTTTTAATATTGAGTTCTAGGGGGTTGTAAATAATAGCTATTTATAGAAAATTCAAAGTGTAAAAAAAAAAAACAAAAAAGTAAAAAAAAGCATGAGATTAGTAAAAAAAAATGTAATAATAAATGGAGTTTATGAAGCTGGGGTACGATACCCGGAACCGGCGAATATTAGTTATTTATGGAACTTTGGATTTTTTTCCTTAGTTTGTTTAATAATTCAAATAGTGAGTGGAATATTATTAGCAATGCATTATTCAGCACATGTTGATTTAGCATTTAATAGTATAGAGAGATTAGTAAGAGAGGTGGATTTTGGATGGTTATTACGATATGTACATGCAAATGGTGCTTCTTTCTTTTTTATAGTTGTTTATGTACATATGTTAAGAGGATTATATTTCGGATCTTATCAAAAACCTAACGCAATGTTATGGGTAAGTGGAGTAGTGATCTTTTTATTATTAATCATAACAGCATTTTTAGGATATGTATTACCATGGGGACAAATGAGTTATTGGGCAGCAACTGTAATTACAAATTTAGTAACAGTAGTACCAGTAGTAGGAGAAGAAATAGTAATGTGGTTATGGGGAGGATTTACAGTAGAGAATCCAACATTAAATAGATTCTATTCATTACATTATCTATGTCCTTTTATAATTGTAGGCTTAGTAGGATTACATATTATATTTTTAAGAGAAAATGGATCAACAAATCCATTAGGAGTAAAATCTAATGTAGATCAAATACCATTTACACCATATTTTACAATAAAAGATTTATTTTCATTTATGATCTTTTTAGTAATATTTTTTACATTTGTATTTTTTGCACCAAATTACTTAGGACATCCTGATAATTATTTAATGGCAGATGCAAATGTAACACCAGCACATATAGTACCAGAGTGGTATTTATTACCATTTTATGCAATGTTACGATCCATTCCAGATAAAGTAATTGGAGTCTTAGCATTAGTATTAGCAATTGTAGTATTAGCTTTTTTACCATTTTTAACAATTTCAGAAGTAAGAAGTTCATATTTTAGACAAATCCATAAACATTTATTTTGGAGTTTTATAGCATTATGTTTCTTTTTAGGATTTTTAGGATCCCAACCAGCAGCAGCACCATATTTATCATGTGGATTAATAAGTACAGTAATCTATTTTATATATATATTAGTATTATTTCCATATGTTTATATTGTAGAAAAAGCAATAATTAAAAGTATATTAAAAACAGAAAAGAAATAAATGCCACAATTAGACTTTTTAATATTTTTTAATGAAATGTTTTATACGTTAGTAGCATTTATGGTGTTTTATACAATTTTATATAGAAGTATAATTGTAAAATTAGCATATAATTTAAAATTAAGATATAAGTTAAGTATGAAGATGAAAAAAGCACAAATAAATGGATTACCAAATGCTTTAACAATAACAAAAGAAGCATTTACAAGTTTAGAAGGAATTACCAAATATATAAAATATTTAGAATTTAGAGATTCTAAATTAATATCAACAATCATAGTAGAATTAAAAAACTATTTTAAGGAAGGAATGAAAAATAAAAAAAATAGCTAAATGATTGTAAACGTAATATTAGGTTTAATTTTAATTATAGGATTAATAGCAAAAGAAGAAATTGCATTAAATGAAGAATTAGTAATTTCAATCAGTTTTATAATAACAATAATGATAATAAAAACAATGATAAAAGATAGTGCAAATGATGCATTTAAAAGTAGAGCAGAAGAACAAGAAAATGAATTTTTAACACAAGGAAAAAAAGTAATTCATATATATTCACAATTAATTACTTATGCAAAAGGATTATTAGAAACAACTATAATCGACAATACATTAGTATATGCAGAAACAATGCATTTTGCAAAAGAAGGTATTAAAACCCAACAATTAAGTAATAAAGTAGCTAGTTTTATAGATTTAAAATTAAAAAATTATAGTAATATAATGCTTACTGAAGTGATGCAAAAAGAAATCCAAGTTAAAAAGTAATTACTCATGTTAGTAACTTTTGAATTTACTTATATATTAATCTTATTATTTATTAGTTTAGCATTATCAATGATTTTATTTTTTTTAGGATATTTTTTAATGTTTAAAGTAGCTTATGAAGATAAGTTAATGGGTTATGAGTGTGGCTTTGATCCATTTGGGAATGCACGGGGAGAATTTGATATAAGATTCTACCTTGTTGCGATTTTATTTTTAATTTTTGACTTAGAAATTACATTTTTATTTCCGTTTAGTATTAGTATTATGAGTATGACATTAGCTTCTTATAGCATAATGTTAATCTTTTTAATAATTTTAACAATCGGATTTATTTATGAAATCAAAAAAGGTGCGTTAGATTGGAGTTAAGCATATAATTTTGAATAATTGTTCAGTATTGCTTTAGTTTGCTATTAACTCAATAGACGGCTAGAGCGGTTGCGAATAAATTTATAGTTAAATTCTGTAAATTTAACCTTAGGCAAAATTATGAAAGAATTCATTTAAACTAATTTGTAGAGGTTACCCTTATATGTTATTCTATTCTGTAAGTAACCAGACGTTTTAAAGTCTAGTTCTTAAGGATCAAGTGCTATAAGAAAGGTTATATAGGCCCTTTTTTACGGTAAATTGTGCTTGAATGCATTTAAAGAGTATTATTGTTACAAAAAAAACTTAAATGTTTTGTATTTTTGACGTTGATATCGAACGAACAAGTTAATAAACAAAATACGTAATTCGTATTTTGTCAAGCCCTTGTAAAAATAAGCCCCTTTATTTAAAAACTAATTAAATAAATGATTATAAGACAGCTTTTCCTAGCGACTAGTTCTATAATTAAAATTAAACCTAATCCTTTTGCATATTAGTAACATTAATAAGAAGAAATAAATAGATTATGACAGTAATATTAAAAGAAATGAAAAAACATAAAAAAAGAATAATATGGGTTTCTTCTCAGCGAATATTAGCTTGCCTACAAATTTTTGAAGTTGATAGATTAAATAAAATAATTTTCTATTTACCAAAAAATAAGTTAAAGTATAGTATTTGGGAAGGAGTCCTTCGAAGGGTGGATTCTCTACTAACTTCGATAATAGGGATCTTAGAAAAAATGAACGTATATAGCAGCAAAATCCCCTGCAATATTATATATGTAGAGAGTATAAGCCAATTAAAAAAAGTACAAGAGTTTGTAATATATATGCAAAACTGTAGTACATACCGACATACGGTTATTAAAGAAGAAATAAAGAAAATAAAAAATGATATTTAATCTACAAAAAACACGTAAAAAAGAAAAGAAAAATCAGTTATCATTTCAATCCTTTTTTAATCTGTTATATCTGGGATTTTTAGCCATAATTTTATTAATATTATCAATCTGGTCATTAGAGTTAACCGATCCAGCAATTGTTTGTGTTGTAAAAGTATATCGATTAATTTGTTTTATATTATATTGTAATGTAGGATTATATTTTGTATTTGTAGATATAACAGGAACATTAGCAACTACATATTTACAAATAAATTCTAATGAGATAAAAAAGAAACAATTTAAAATTTTAATAAGACGATTAGTACTTATTGGGAGTAACTTAGTATTACTCGTAGCACTTTATTTTATCTTAAAAAGTTGTCCATGGCTATCAAGTTCCTTTGTAACATATTGTGATGAATTTCCGGATTCACGAAAAGTACACCAGGAAATTCAAGTAACAACTGTAGAAAAGAGGCCTAATAGTATCAACAAAATATCAAATGGAATAAAAAGACTGAGTGATATTAGAATAATGCCAACAACTGGTCAGAAAACTTTATATTTAACAGAGTCACCAAAATTAGTAGAATTTCCTGCGTACACAGAAAAAATATTAGAAAAAACGGTGATGTGGAGTCCCGTTACGCATGAAGTGGTACCTTTGAAACATGTGGATGTCAGCCGAGTTAGTAAGGATATTAATGACTGGTTATTAAAATTCGAACCACTAAAAAAACCTCCAGAAAAAATAATATCTGTAGCTGAGTTTTGGAAAAATGTAAAATTACCAAATTTAGGACTACTTAGTGATATAGTACTACCAGTAAAGGAGGAAAAAAGTATTGCATTATTAAACACAGACATCGTAATTGACGAACCTTTTACAGAGATAGACTCGTCCGCACCTGCACCTACTAGTATGATGTGGGATTCTGTGAAACAAAAATGGATCCCATTGAAATATTTTGATATCACGAAAGATATTGTACAACCAATTTGGAAGTGGTATCATGGAATTAAAGATGGAATTAAAGGAACGCAAGGATTAATAAGTTTTGAGGATTCCACAAAGATGTTTACAGAGGAGCAAAAAAATGAATTTAGGGCTATAATTGATAGGGGAGATACGGGAATTTTAAATTATCAAGAAGGGGTTACTATTTTAAAGGAAACGAATGCAAAAATAAAGCAATTTATATATTTACATCAGTTATATAAGACTGCTTATATTTTTGAAAGTAAGGATAAGGTCTTTTTTACTTATTTTTTTGCGTTTCAAAATTTTAAAGAGTCTATTAGATTGGTAAATCAAGAT